GTCAGGACCAGGTTAGGGAGCAATTAAACGTGCAGTTATGTTGGCAGATCTGAGGGGGCAGCTGGATCAGAAGCAACACATCTGACCACGCTCTAAATAAACATCTGTCCAAAGCCTTAGTCAAACAGATGTGGAGAAAAAAAATTTACTTATTAAGTCTTGAAGTGAAAATATTATTTACAAGAAACCGCATGTATCAAACTTTCTTCCAAGAGATGCAATCACTAATTCATGAGATTATAATTTTCTACAGTCATAAGTGAAGTATCTAGTAGATAATTCAGAAAACCAGGACATACTTTAAACAGATAAATCCACACAGTTAAGTATTTTGTGTTCTGTCAGGACACTGTCAACTCCACAGGGGTTGTGAACTGCTTGCACGAACTTGAAGTGCGTGTATTCTAATCAACTCTGCAAATCGCTACTCTTAAGAATTGAAAACTGGTTTCAGACTGCAAATTTACCTTTGTTTTAAAGGAAATAACACTGTTATGTTATGCTTGTCCTACAACTCTGACTGCTTTTCTCCAAACCCATTTCTTATGCTAGCACAATATTTTGCACAGCCACAGTAAGAACAGATGAAGGTTAATACAATGGAGCAGTGCAGAACCTGCATCCTGGGCCACTTTCCACAAGGCATCACAAATGCTGATGCTGGCAATAAGAAAGACGGTGCAGAGGTATGAATAAGCAACCAAAAGCACAAGTCAGTCAAACGTGGCTTCATTTGGCAGCAGTACTGGTATAAAATGCACATGAAACTGCCTCTTCAATCTAACTTCTGGAAAAAGATTATTTAAAATCTAGATGACATACTTAAGAGCAGAAACAGGATTTGACTCCTTTGGTTACATTATTGACGATATGCAGATATATTAAGATGGATAATAGCACAGGCTAATCAAAAAGCATTTTCTCATCCCTTTCTGATGTTCAATACTTCAGATAACTCTAATCTCCTCTGTTTGAAAAACCAAAGTATATAATACACACAAATTGAAAAGTGCTCTTTAGAAATGCAGAAGTTCATTGCAGACATGACTGACAAAACTGTGTTAAGACATATGTATACACTCTCACACACTGTACGACTGTTGCAGAGTTGAACACCAAAAACTGGCAACTGAGCATGACCATAAAGAGCAGAGACTTTCCCAGCTAGTTTGAAAATGCACCTACATCAGTTATCCCCCAAACACTTTTTGACTTGATTTATGTTCTGCTGCTTTAAAAGAAGAAATGGGTCAATATGAAATAATGCACATACTTGTATAGTGGATATTTATACCCAAAATAAACTTTCTCTTGGGAGAATATTTTTAAAGCAGCATTTCAAGTCTCCTGGCAATGGTTAGTTAGAAAAAAGTTATTTATTTATTTAGAATAAAAGTTCTCAGAAATTTTTTAACCACCAACGTTTAGGATGCTGGGAGTAAGCTTAGTAATTCAAGTTTTTCCCTTTCCCCCAAATTACTTTTCACTGCATACAGCATTTAGTATTCATACATGCAGAGGAATGCAGAGCATGAATTAAGGCAGAGAAAATCATATTTAAGAAATGTATGGTCTATTTTACAAGAGATGATATGTATGCACAAAGCAATTCAACTCACTACATGCTGTTGATTCTAATAAGCCTGAAAACAAAACACATTGCCTTGTCCAATTAGACTTTTCCTACTGCACCTACAGTTTTAATATCTGGCATACAAGTATCACCAATTTATGATTTGCATTTTCTCCATCGATGAAGTAAGAAACACTGAATAAATACTGTTTTCCCTCAAAATATGCAGTATTTCTGTTACAGATTGTGAAATGGAAAAACATACTTAAGAGGTTGAATATGGTCTGTGACTCCTAATTTTTTCATTAAATGTAAAGACCTCTTTGCAATGATGCATCTGAAGCTTCATTCTGACTAACAGACTGAAGCCCACCATTTTAGATTCAACCACAGATTTTTTAAGGAAGTGGCAAACCATTGCTGCTAGTTGAGAAAATGAAAATTAGTCCCTAGGAGAGGATACAATCAATGGTGTGTTAATCTAACCTTCAGCTGTTAATGATTTGCACTACTATTTCCCCTGATGCTGTGGGTTCTGCTGAAATATTGTTTTAGCAGTTTCTGTCAGCTTTCCCTACCTTTTTTCTGCTGAAAGGGAAAGACTGAAGTGAAAGTCTTAGCAACAGATTTTGCATCAGCTTTCCTTTCTGACCCAGCTCTTTAACACCATGGAAGCACAAGACAGAAGGATAAACTGTTCCGTCTTTTCAGTTCAAGCCTTTTAAGCCAGTCTTATTATTCACAACTCCTTTTACTTACAAAAGAGGTGTTACACTAAGCAGTCACCATTGGAATTGCAATAGTAACATGCAATTAAATAATTTAGAAAGTCTGTATTTTGCCTGTTTTTTTCACATTCAGCCAGAAAGTTAAAAACTTACAGAACTCTTTTTGGAAAGAGCTACTGAGGAGAGTGTTGTATTTTCAGCCATGAGAGCTGCATAAGTGACCTGGAAGAGACTTCTTGTGCTGGTGTAGCAGTAAGTGCGTGCACCAATCCTGCAGATCTGCCTCATCCTGCAAAGTTTGCGTCCTTCAGGATCTTTTGGTTCACTCAGTTGAAACAACCTTGCAAAACAATTCTCATCCAAAACAAAACTGCATACCCCGCAGGCCAAATTCTGCAGCAAAATGTGTGAGTGCCAAAATAATAAAAGTACTCAGCACCTTTCAAAGCTGTGTTCCACTCACACACACTGGTTTTCTTAGCAAGTATTTCTTCCAGGAGTAAGTGCATCTGAAACATTTTAGCACTCTTAAACTAAAGCCAAAAAGCCTCACAAAATCATTCACTTTATGTGTATCACAGTCTCTTTGTTTAACTTAATCAGTCCTGAATATTTCAGATAATAAAAAAAAAAAAAAAAACAAAAAAAAACAACAAACAAACAAAAAAAACCCACAGTATTTCACAGGGTAAACCTGTGAAGTGTATGACTGACTAGGAATTTTGAGTTAAGATGAAGAAGCGACATTTGAACTATTCCAATATTAGCTGCATGAAAACTAGAGTAAGCTTTTATCAGGTTTGTGTGCCGGTGCACACAACTCTTTTGATAAATATTACACTGGTAAATACAGTATAATTATTTATATTTATTTTCTTACAGCTTAAAATATAATGAAAAAATTAACGTTTCTCCTTCAAGATCATGCTCACAAGCCACATGAAAAGCAACAAAATGGTTTGAACATAGAATACACTACACACTAGCTGCAAAAATACCTTTACAAAGTTCTTAAATGTACTTCATGTTTGAAGACATTACCTTATGTTTGAATACTTATCATGCTGAAAGCTCATGCCACTTATTTGCAGGTATATGAAGAGTTTTGAGAGAGACATTATTTATCTGCCAAACTCCTTAAAGTGCTTCAGCCATGATATCTACTACTGATAACTAACATCACAAATTGTCTTTGCACCTAATTTAAAAGCACACAGACCTTGTCAAAACTTTTCTTGATTAGAAAGTTAAAAATAAGTAAAAACCCCATGAACATCAAATGATCAACAGATTACAAAATGGGTGATTTACACATTTCAGAAAATGTGTGCTACTTGACAGAAGGCGTAATTTTTTTTGTTGCTGTACAATTTTAATGCATTTTATCAGTAACCTGGATCAAAAGAGGAGATTTCTAATAAAAATTTCTATGACAAAAACCATGTATCCTTAAGTAACAAAGAGAACATTTTATGGATTCACACTACTTCAGGACAGCCAAATGTACAATCCATGCATTTCTATGTAGCCAAATAGAAGAACACATTGCCTATGAATGAGGAATGCAAGCCACAGAATCTAAAAGAAAAATGGGGATGAAGAATGGCTCAAAGGACCTGGGATATATAAAGGGAAGAACAACAAGTAGAAACAGCGAACAAATGACTTCATTATTTGGCACTGATGTAGCTATTTCTGAAATATGGAGTCCACTTGAGACATCAACACTAAGAAGACTGAAAAACCTGCAGAGTATTCAGAAAAAGGACTGTAGGAATAACTGAATACTTGAAAATACACCATAGAGTCAAATTCAAACAATAGACACTTTTCTTCATGTAAGGAACAGATTATATACAATTTGATGGTAATCTGTAAATTCATACATGGAGCATAGAAATGTAATCCCATTCTAACCAAAAAGATGTAACAAAACCGATCATCTTGAAGCTCATATCAAAGGCAGACCTAAAACATAATACTCTTCAGAAGTAATTAGAGCTCCTGAAAAACACTCACAGCAATTTACATAAGGAATCTTCTGCATTCCCTTTTACTGGATATTTCTTTAATCCACAATGGATATTTCTTTAAAAAACAACTCTATTCACCATGAACTAATACAGGCAAATACTACGGCCTTTACATTGGAAGACAGATTAGATGACCACATCTGCAATAATTTTCTCAGGCATTAAAACCCACTGATTTAAAAATCAAGATTATGACTGAGTTCGAAGAACTCTGTATCACATGCATATTCACAATTCTATCAATCTGATTATAGGTACACAATTTAAATTTTTAAAGGCTAATGAAAATAATTCATTTATTTTGGTTTATTGGTCATTTTGTTTTCTTCTTTCTGAAGTTTCATGAAAGAAATCTCAGATCTTAACCTACAGTCTAACATAAAATATGATCAAGTCAGCTGAAGTCTCAGAATTAGCAAAAGGTGACAACAAATATAAAATATAGGATTAATATAACTGGACATGGAAAATATCCTGCAAGTATCATATTTAGCCTTACGATTAGAAAGACATTTACATGCTTTATGCAACTTCATTTTAGCAAAGTAAAATCCAGACGCCTTGTTTAATCATTTTCAGTTAGCAATAACTTCAATATATAATTCTCTTTTCTTCATTCTTAGTGATTAAAAAACAATCTTAAGCTAATATAACAGCTATACTTACTCTGGCAGTCGAGACAGAATACCTAAAGAAAGAACATACGCCATCATTGATCCGACCTGACAGCTTACGCTTCTGAACCCAGCAGACAGCAAACTCCAGCACAATAAAAGCAACGAAGAATGGAATACTCTGAAAAACAGTTTGAAGAAAAGAAGTCACAACACAAATAGAATTAGAACCAGCTTTCCTAACAGCAGTCTATGCAGCTGGATACTTCTCAGGTTTGTTGGAAACTTACTAACTACTACTATGATAAAGCTTCACATGAACCTCATGAATCAGAACAACCAAGGCCACCATTTAGTCCATAACACTGGCATAAATCCAGTGTACTAACTTTGTCCAATATTATTATATTTTGTATCTTCTGCACATAAACTGCTAATGGCACCAAAACAAAACATGAAAGTATTTCCAAACTGATATTTCTCACATTCAAGTAAATCTGTCAGAGCAGCAACATTTGTGGATTCCTCCAACCACAAGGCAAAATGGAATCTGCTTTCAATTTGGTATGTAACCAGGTTTTGAACGTGTTCAGCCACTGAAGTTGGCATCCAAAAGTATTATCTGAAAGACACAGTAAGTGAGTTTTTTCTACTCAGCATTTTTGTAGCCATGGTTTTTGCTGCAGGTATCAACAGCTCTTCTGACTGCTTTTTCATCAGAGTAACTGATGAAACTATGTAACACTAACTATGCAGCCCATTCCAATTTGGGCCACACAACACGTTCTCATAGTAATGATACATTATTCCCTTTTTTAATTTTGTACTAATTGTAAAACAATTTTCTGCATTCCTCAAGAAAAATATAATGATGAGCAAGACTGAACCATTTCTCACCCACAATACTTCTTCAGTCTAGGATTCAATTCATGCTGTCCAACTGGCAAGTTGAAAATGCATGCTAGGAACACCCAGCAGATGAAGGTATGGTTGTGACTAGTGGTAAGACTGGTAATATTGTGACAATACTATTTTTCATCAGTGGAGAAAGATGTTACAGCTGTTATCATATTTTTATCAGCACAGGCAAGAAAAAACATGTTTTTTTACTGACCCTGAAGTCCTAACACTCCCTACACTTCATGAGTGGAAAGAATGAAGAGTAGTGGCAACATATCAGCCAGCAACACCAAAATGTAGAAGGCCAGCAGCAAGGTAAATAGGAATGATCTATTTTACATGTATCAGAACTCTGTGTAAATGAATGATTCTTCATCTGCCCCCCTCACTCTGTAGAAAACATTTAGATGACTTTGGAGACATTCACGCAACTCCTCAGTGATATTAATTAAGGCATAAAATTCCCATCATGTTTCTGCAGGACAAGAGAAATGCTAGACCAGGGAGACTTTCTGCACCACTATAGGAGGCATCAGCTGCCAAACCTCTGCTAGACATCTTCTGCTATCTCCTTCAAATGACCTGCAAACACATACAGATTTCCTGACTGAAGCCCTCCAAACGGTAGACTTTGCATAGAGGAGAGGCTGCTCCTGCCTATACAACATTTAATGGAAGAAGCATATTACCTCTGCAAATGCCGTTGCATTTTGGAGGGTGCTCATTTGCTCATTTTTGTTGCCAAGTGAGATATCTGGGAATTCCTACCAGGCTGGGACACTAAAGAGACTAAGATGGATATAGACCAGATTGCTCAGTCAAAGAAGAATTGGATGATTCAAACCATGCAAGCAGCCAGAGATTTATAGCAACTAGGAAATGTGAAAGTTCATAAACTTCAGCAGCTCAGGGTTAGATTACAATAACAGATGAACAGAGATTAATATCAACATGGCACTTTTCAATTTAGCTGCCTAGCTTGCTTTTTAACAGCAGTTTAGGCTTCTAAAAGCCTGTGTTGGATATATGCTAACTGATGATACAAAAACCTGTGGAAGCAAGCCTATGGATAAAGCCTAACCAGCATCCAAGGGAGGAGAAGGGGAAGGGCACACCCCACCACCATCCATTTTTAATCACTGAAACACTATTTGAAGACATAAGTACTCCTTGTTTTGCATAGCTGCTTCATTTCTGAGAAGACAAGACCTTTAATGTCTTAACCGATATAATTAAAGAACAGATTCCTAACTTATCAAAGGTAGGTGACAATAGCTGTACATTCCAGTAGAGATAAAACTAAGAAACACTTAACCACAGTATTAAGAGACAGGTCTAGCACAGACTACAGGCAGTTTGAAACTAAGGAACAGCAGAAGCTGCATAGCAAATTGAATGAGCTCAGGACAGAACAAGCGGGATTCTTTATTCACAGAATGAAAATTGTTAATAGAAAATATACAATGCCTATATTCTGTGTGGCAATTCACTTAACCTAGCAACTTCTGAAATGGTTAAAATACTTGACTTTATACTAATACACACTAATATAACTTCTTTCTCATTGACTTCATCAGATACTTTCTTCCCACTGTGAAGCTGTGAGATAGCCAAGTATTTGACAGCACTTTTTGATTCACAAATAGGGAGTGTCACAACAAAGAAGATAAGCATCCAGACAGCCTTAACCTTCTGCCCATCAGGGAGCTTGTGAAAGAAAAGATTTATGGCATACCTCCTAGTATCTAAGAAATTACTACCTCTCTCCCACATATCCACATTAAGCTTTGTCTAAAGCAGATCAAAGGGATCAACTATGTCAAGACTAGTATGTATTATTTATGTGACCATAACACCTAGTAGTTGTTGTCATGGAGTGGGATTGTATTATGTTAGATGCCACACAAACAGAGGGAAAAAGCACTCCCTGTCCCAGACAGCCTACAGTCTAAACACAAAGTGAAGGATGATGCAAATAATTCAGGAAAAAGGAGCCAGTAATACAGATAATAATCCCACTAGCCTAACGACTACTTGCTTGGGGCTTCTTTTTAAGTTAAAGTGTCAATAAAGACATTTAAGGAACCCATTAAGGATAGGTAGCTCTACAAAACTTTTCAGGGATTGCCCCTACAAACTAAATGGCAGAAATGTAAGAAATAATCACTGTTGGCATCACAGGTCAGAGACAGAAGCTGTATCCTTTTGATATTTTCTGGTCTATAACTGTTTAACTGTTTGCAGTTTCTTTCTGTTCACCCATCACCAGAAATACTTAACGGAGATTTGCATTAGCTTATCATGTACTTGAATAACTGATCCATAACTTGAAAGTCTTACTTGGAGCACTAAGAGGTGTTCCCTTGCAGAACTCTTGCAGAATGCAAAGAACCATCTAAAATCAGTTCCTCTTTATACATTTGCAAAAAATAATATTCTAAGTTGAAACTCAGCATAAATTCATGGCTTTATTGCAAGTCTTGAAACAAGTTTCTATTTTCTTAAAGTCCCAGGTCCTTATAACATAAGAATCTCAACTTTCATGTAAAACTAAATGCAAAGGTTCTGGGCCTCATTATTCAGAAGCAAGGCCTAAAATGTGAATTGAGTGTAAATGTGAACTTAATCTTTAAGCTCTCAAAATCACACAGTAAATAGAAAAGAAAAACAGTGATTATTAAATCTAAAGCTTTCATTTTGAGGCTCTCAGCAGAAGGAACAGTGCTTTCTCCCCCTGAGGCTAACTCAGAAAGTCTTTACTGAGCTTAAGTGATAATTTCAGAATGCAGCAAGAAGCAAAGTGAAGTTGTTGTTGTTCATGAAAACTATTCAGCAAGCAAAAGGGAGCACTCCATCTGTCCTTCTGCAGACTATAAGAGTATCAAAAATCCTAGAGCATGCAGAGCATAATATGATATCTATAGCATAGAGCATGCTCATGAAAGGACAGGGCAAGCATCAATATACATTGTAAGAGTCAGAATGTTCTGCCCTGGAGAAAGAAAATTGACTAACACTTTCCCTTCTGTTCCCTGAAATAAGGGAAACTTGAGGGTTTCTAATTCTATATGACAAAAGCTTGCATAAAATTAAATTCTGTGATTATGGTCTAGGATTTTATCCCCTTTTCCCAGAATTTTGGAGATTAGTTGGACGGGTGACTTTTCCAAGGGCACTGCTGCAGTCACTGGTAGCTGACCACCTCATGTTTTAAACATGACTTGTAGCCTTCACATACAGTTCTGCCAGCATAGAGAGCTTGATGCAGGAACCAGGAACTGTCACGCATCCTCTGAAAATGGAAGTAATATAACCACAGCCAGAAAGTACACCACACAAGTTAAGCAAACTAAATTATTCTGTTCTGAAAATCAGAGCTGCTTCACTCACTGCTGCTACTTGCTGCACAACTGACTAGCTCAAAGGAGCTACTTCTATAAAGTGCATATATTTTGCAAATCACCAAAGTGCTCAATTCTGCAGAGCGCTAAAAACATGAATATTTGAGTGAATTATGAGGTTCTGACTCCTGCCTAATGTTGGAAGGTGAGTATCACCACAGCTGTAGCCATGTGATCTAATGTACTAGAAATGCCCTCATCCACTTAATACATTTTACAGAGCTGAGATCTAAACCCCACTTCTATATGGTGTCTCAGAGAAAAAAAAAAAATAAATGTTTAGGAGACACAAATGTTATCAGTAGTTTGTTTCACACCCCCATCACAGTTACTGCCTTTTAGAGTGAATTATTTAAGCAGAGGCCTTCATTTATTACCAGCTCTGCACTAGGAATTTTTTGTTCTGCATTGGGCTGAGTGCAGACATCCACCTCTGTATTTGTAGCAACTCAAGGGGTTACCACTCCAAGGCCCCCGTGAATGGCTCATCACTAGCCATTTCACTATGAAACTAGCCCTGCTGAATCCAATGGATCTGCTGTTCTTGCAATTGTTCCCTGAACAGTCTAAGAGAAGCTGCAAGACCAGTAGGTCAAATAAACAAGTGACAAGCAGCTGGAGAGGGACTGTAGATAGCTGCCTTCTCCCCAAAGACACACGGCTAGAAGGTGTGAACACTGCCTATGCTCAGAGCAAAGCCATACAGTTAAGACAGTTACACCACTTTAAAAGACTTTTACAGACCCACCTAACCAAGCAGCAAAATGTCTGTTCCAGCAACAAATGCACTGTGGCGCGTGGGGGGGATGGATTTCTAGTACAACTAACTCAAGAAATTAAAGTATAGCCATAATAGCAAAAGCTTTTTTAGTGTAGATTTTTTGCAAGGTATATATTCACTTACAAACTTGCCACAATGGTGCTCTACAACAGCAGAAGCATGGAGGCACTTTTATAATTCAAAGAAGTATTAAGAATACTTACTCAAACTTTTACAGCTTTGTGTCCAAGCAAAGAAACTGCAAGTTTGGCCAAGATCTGAGCTGAATATTTGCACAGGTCTGCATAGGAGAAGAAAACCCAGAGATGTTAAGGAATGCTGCAGGCAAGAAAGTGAATGATACTTGGTTGGAAATACAGAAACAGTAAAAGGTATTGAGATGGGCAATAGAGCTAGAGGGCTGCTGACTGGGCAAACCTTTTACACTCTAGACACTCTTTTTCAATCAAGACACTTACAGCTTAGCTGCAAAATGCCTCTGAGGAAAGCAGTTTGTCTATCAGACACTGCACACACAGGATGGGTTTGTGGCATCTGCCGGCTCACCTGATCCAAAAGGGTGATGTTTGCTGACAACAGGCATCAGAGGGGGGCTGCTGCTGCACACTACAATTCCCAGAAAGCTGCCGATGGTGCTGCAGGGCTCTACGCAACCCATGACGCCCCCCATGGCAACCCCAACAGCAGCTGCAGGCCAAGGTTTACCTGACAGAGGAGCTAATCAGAGCTACCAGGACCTGTGCAGTAAGTGTGGATCTTCAGTGAAGTTGGGCTGAACTTACTTTGACAAGGACATAATAGTGTTTACATGCTGTCTCTATGAAAAGCTCCAGGACACTGGTCCTGGTTTAGCAGGAACTGGGCAACAAGGTTTGTGCAATAGGTAGGACATAAGGCAGCAAAGGTACTTCCATGGGAGTGGATAAACTGTCAAGGCAGGAGGGGAGGGAGGGATATGCTGCTGCCTGCTGACAAAGGAGTTCTCACCCCTGACCTCTGTACTCTTGCCTTGGAGCTTTAGGACCCAGCACTGTCCCAACACAAATATTTGTTCTCAATTCTCTTAAACAACCTTTATTTTTTACTTTTTTATTTTTCTTTCTTTTGCTGAGCTTGTAGCACTCGCCTTAAGCACACAAAGAGACCTGACTTTTTGCTTGCTTTAAGAACCATAATAGCCAAACACTGCATGGGGTTTTCTGGTTTACTCAGCTCAGTGTTCTGTCACTGTATCCAGCAGCACTGCCAATCTGAACAATATTAGCATCAACCCTCAGATATTTGGGGTGTTCTTTCTGGAAACTTTAGCTTCTGATATCAGGAGAAGGCATCTGAGCCTTCACTTAAAATACATTAAAATAGAGTGCAGGGTTATACAGTTTACACAGGGAGCTTGCAGGCAGAGAGCCCAGGAGCGGAAGCAAAGACAAGGTGCTTTAATTTAGGTGCCGTCTCTCGGACGTTGTTTTTTTGGGCTGCCTGCGGTACCCGCAAGGGCAGGCGGCAGCCGCGCAGGGTGCGCGCAAGGTACGGCGGGGGATGCTGCCGGGAGGAGGGGGGAAGCGGAGCGGCGGTGGCTCTCACCTTCTCACGTAGTCGGGCACCTCCTCCACCTTGCGGAAGGAGCTCTCACCGGGCGGCAGCACGTAAAGAGGGCGCGGAGCTGCTGCCCCGGCGTGGTGGCCTGCGGGCCGCCTGCCTCGCTCTCCATGGCCCGGCTGCGCTGTGCTACGCGCCGCCGCCGCAGGTGCGCACAGCGAGGACCGCCCCCTGCCCAGCACCGCGACGGCGCCCGGCCGCGGAGCAGCGACTGGGGCTCTAGAACAGTCCGACTGCGTGTACCCACAACACCGGGGGACTTGAGGTTGCTTCGGGAAGAACCGCACATTTCTTTCTTCTCTTTCGCTCGTGCTACTTGGGAGGTTTTCTTGGGGTTCTGAGGGGGGGGTGGGGGTGTTGCTTTGTTGGTGGGGTTTTTGGTGGTTGGTTGGTTGGGGGAAGAGGAAGAAGGTTATGTGTCATCATGTACATGGCCCACTCCTGGGAGTCACAGAATCACGAAAATCCCAGAACGGTTTGGGTTGGAAGGAATCTTAAAGCTTATCTAGTTCCAACCCCCTTCTGTGGGCAGGGACACCTTCCAGGAGACCAGGTTCACCTGGCCTTGACAGGCACAGCTTCTCTGGGCAACCCATGCCGGCGTCTCACCACCCAAGTAAAGAATTTCTTCCTTTTATCTAATTAAATCTCCTGTCTGACAGTTTAAAACCAGTCCTCTTGTCCTATCACTGCATGCCCTTGTATAAAGTCTGTTCTCCAGCTTTCTTGTAGGCCCCCTTTAGGTGCTGAAAGGTTGCTGTAAAGTGTCCCTGGAGCCTTCTCTTCCCCAAGCTGAATAGCCAACTCAAGTAAAGGGAGCCCTCACACACCTAGCCACTGCATGTCCCAGTTCCCTTCTCCCCCTCAAAGAAAAATAATCTCTAAACAGCGCAGCTCAAGCTGTCCTTTTCCACTTGTAGATATGTTTCCACTTGTAGGTGTGTTTCCACATGCAAAAATATTGTTCAGGTTTTGACTTCTGAATAAAAAAGCAAAATTGTATAAAATTAAAATGTTAAGGGTGTTGAGAAACAACTAGAGATGTGGTTGTTTGCTCCCATGTTCAGCTGTATGGGTCAGTTGAGCACTGCCCAACTGTGGGTTTTAAACTTTCAGAAGAGCTTATCACAGCTCAATTCTCCAATTAGTATGACTATACTAGAGGTCGACTCCAGCAGCTTTTTAATGCTTTCATTTATAAAGAAATGAAAACTAGGGGAATGCAAAGAAACAGTGAAAACAAGTGTGTGCGAGATCCATGTAGGAAAGTACTTTTAGAAAAGGGAATAACGACAGGCTTTGTACATTCAGGCCCCAAGTCTGAAGCTCAGGAGCATGCATTTTGCTGTCAAATGTTTCTGAACCACACTTGATATGTTTGGTGTTAGTACAAATAATAAGCTTTGTGATAAAATAGATTAGCCAGAAATAAAATAACACAGTGTCCCAACAGCCCCTTCATATCAGATGTTCAGTTACGGTCTTTCCAGAAGAAATGGACTGTAAATCCTGCTGTAAAGGATTTTGCCACAATTTAAATCCTGCCAGTCATTAAAGAAAAGTTTTCTACTTTGAATCAACCCTTAGTTTTGGGACTGTAGCAGGTAACTTCAGATGAAGTTTTTGTTTAGAAAAAGAAACAATAGAAAGAAGCATAGAGAAATTGACATTAAAATAATTGAAGTAATGCACATTTATGATGTTTGTATTAAATGTCACCATTTAAACAATATTCTGCATATTGATTTGTTACATTAATTAATAATGTAACAATTCTGTAGTGCATGAATGTCAGAAAATAGCAGGAAGTGCCAATTAAAATATTTTACATTAAGTTGAACAAAGCCTAAGTGTTTTCAAATGGCATTAACGGTGAAATAGATTTAGGCACTCTTAATATGTATAGCTTACACTAGTACTTGATAAGTAAAAAAATAATAAACTTATTAAAATGCTTTAAAATTACATCCTAGTGTTCTCAGCTTCAATGGTGATTTATGGAAATTTGAGAATTCTCATAGAAATCTAGTTATTAACTTCTAAAGTCTGAATTCACCGAAATGAAAACATGAAATTTACTCAGACCCACACAAATCAACAGCCTTCTGACTAGATCTTCATTGTAGGCAAAGACATTTGGTAGAAAGGGTTTGCTTTTTCATTTAGATTAGCCTAAGTAGTTCCATGGCATAAGTCCTTGAACTTGCCCTAACCCCAGCCACACCATCCCAGCAGGCAGCCCCGAGCCCTCTGTTGCTGTGGTGCTGGTGGTCATCTTGTTCCACTGTCAGCTCCCACATTATCAGTGAACAGTATCTACCTGGAAGGAGAACGATGATTAGCAGGGCAAGGGAGCCCATAGTCACACAAGGTGAGATAGATTTCAGGTACCATAGAACCACTACCTCGTATCACACCATTCAGCAAAAGAAGAGAATCCATCAGGCTTTGGGGACTTTATACTTCTGTAAAAATTATTATTTTAAACCTCCATTTCAGTGTAAATTATCACCCAAGTATCACTGTACTGAAATTCTTGTTTTGAAAACTCAAGGAAAGAATTTGAACTTGATTATGCCTCACAGGGGAAACAGATGGGTTGTGTTTTCCAGCTTCTGAGTCCAATGAAAAATAGATTATAGCAGTACAATAGCTACACTTCTGGTGAGAACAATGATTTTTAATCCTATCTGGAGCATCTATGACTTTTAGACAAGCTTCAGTATAATCTGCCTACAAACGTAGCTGCTGTTTTCTATTTAAGCCTTGAAACTTAACATGCAGTTTCCAGTGCTTGCCCTTTCTTTTGTTAAGAAAGGAACAGAAAAGCATCCAGGAATGTTGCTTTAGTGGAAGCACTACCTCTCTACCAGACAATGATCTCTCCATTCTGTGACTTTTTTTTCAGGAGTTGATTTTTATTCCAGTTATTTTCTGCAAAGAGTTAAATTGCCTACTTTTTTTTTTTTAATTTACAATTAAAAAATACGAAAATATAGAAAAGTAGATGTTTCTCATCCTATACTGCCATCAAAAATACAGAAGGATGTTCTGTCTGGAAACTAGGATTCTGCTGTTGATTAGTAGATCGTTCCAGTAACTAGGGCAACAAAAGCCTCTGTTCTACTTAGAGGAAATTGAGGAGCTGGCCTAACATGATCTGTAGGTGGATCATATTTTGTTTTCTCTAAAGAACTCCATCCCACCCACTTCATGAACAGAGAACGCCCAGACGCTTCCTGTTTGGGTCTCTCAGAGCACTAAACCAGCACTAAATAACAAACTCATAAAGGGAATTAGGGCAGGTTGAAATTGGAATGGGCGATATAGTCTGCCTTGGCAGTCATTCCCAGCAAAGTGAATCATATCCAGAACCGAGCTGGGCTTAGTATGCTTTATTTGCGTAGTACTATTTTTGAATATAGAAAAACTTTAAATGAGTACATTTTGATGAGCTTCTATATTCATGCTTGGCAATGGATGTCATTAGGGGAGCACTAAATGCATCAGTGTTATTATAAAACTGGTATTATATTTTGAACATGGTCTTTGCCAGTGGTAAACCCTACATTTTACAGTATCTTTAAAAAAAACCAAAACTACTTGTTTATTTGTTCATATTATATAAGCTATATGTATTAATACCAATTCTTAACAGCATAATATTGACTCCAGAAACCTGACGACAGGGATGTTCTGCATGTTAATCAACATCATGCCATGCATTTAGCTACTTTGCTAACTTTCCATTATTTCTATTAGTAGGTCTGCTAGCTATAGAATGGTGCTCATATACAATCATGCAGGATTATTCAATTCAGTGCAACCAGTAAGCAAAGTCAATTTATTCAAGGGTTGCCAAGATGTCTATAGAGAGTAACACACCCTTCAGGCAGTCTGCTTGATAAACATCCAGTGATAAATGTTCATACTAGTCTTAGAACTTTATCCTCTACATTTATTTGTTACTTGTTTACTGTGTGTAAAACACAGTCATATGTCTGATAGTTATGTCTGCTTTCTGTTATGGAGAAAATATACATTTCTAAAAGTTATTATTTAAATTCCCTTTTTTTCCTTATTCTCTCCCCTAGTGCATTGACCACAGGAATTATTTTCACCTCAGACTCTAGTACCCTACTTAGGTGGGCCAAGCGTTGACTTTCTGCTGGAAAGTGGATGAATAGCACTGTTCTCTCTCCCTTTTCTGACAGGCTTCTTCTACCATTCAGCTTGGCCTGGCACAGAGACTGACAGGATTCCTCCATGAGTTTGTTTACTTAACAAACTCACATAGCAAGAAATTAAGCCAGAAGAGGAGTAATTTTGCAATTTCCTAGTGCAGTAGTGAGCTAAGTGGCTCATGAGAGGGTCCAGGGGGTGCAAGAGCTGCATGAAAGTCCAGGAGAAAAAAGGGCAGATCCCAGAGCTACAAACGACAGATGAGAAAATGAGATAGAAACAGGACCTCATTTCAGCAGCAGCAAGTTATTAGATAACTGAGCAGCTCATGGAGTCACAGCCTCCTATGCAATTGCCAAAAATATGGCTTCAGCAGGCTATCGTATGTCAGCATTCAACTACATCCAAACAGTTGATGGTTCCTTGACATCAGCACTTCAGTAACTGCCTTTTTCAGAGTTACCCTTTTTTCTCTAAAGCTTATGCCTAGCAGGATGGAATCTTTTATTTGCCTATTCACATAACTACATGTGTTATATACTGCATTTTATGCATGGGGTTTGGCTGGACAGGAAAGTTCCCTGGTCTTCCATGTTCTAGATGCCACACATGGATGGGGTCATGGGGCATCTTCTGGAAGGAGGGTACGTAAGGGACAATCAGGCTACGAGGAAGACAGGAAGGGATAGTTCAAGAGGTATAGCAGATGAAAGGTATAGCATGAGATGGGGAGGCAGGGGCCTGATCAGCAAGGGTACAACAGTGGCTTAAAGTTGCAGGAGGGAGGTTATTCTGGAGACCAGAGGAAGTTTGGCAAGGTTGCTGCAAAGCTCAGACATAGGTCTTTAGGTAATGGCTCACCCTGTTAGGCCTCAATAAACAGCAGGGGAATTGGCACTCATGCTCTGTATTTTCATTAGTCCTCAAACAGCAAAACCTCAGTTTTCTGTATTTCAGAGGC